TCTTTCCAGAATGTGAATCCAGAGCCATCCAGGAAACTCAGACATCCTTCCCTAACTCCCCCGGAGAGCCAGTAGGTTTCCAAGTATGGGTCTTCAGAGGCTGAAATTGGTGATTGTGGGACTATTTTTACCATAGAAATTGGCAAATACTACCAATTACAGCTTCTATTTTTCCAGAGACCCTGTTGCTAAACATTTACCAAAACAAACCAGAGATGATTCTGAAAGATGGTGGAGACATAACTTCAAGGGTTCTCTCATTGTCCACATTGCCTAGAGGGAGAAATAGCTAGACCAGAACATAGGCAGTGGCTATTGGTGTGACTGGGCAGCCAGGGTCTTGGAAGAAGCACAGTTTGGGATGATTGGTATCAATAAATTCGTAACGAAGACACTTAGGAATGAGCACGGGGTCTGCAGATACCTGTGGTCCATGCAAATGCTCACCAGTAATTCTTTATTGTGGAGAAGGGTCCTGATCATTTAGAAGAAGGCCCTGCTGCCTATGACTGTCAATCACCAACCGTCCCAACCATCACTGCGCTTGCTTGGGAACCCAGCAGCAAAGGGACCGTGATTTCAGGATGGATCCCATTCAAGAGCTCAGCAACAGAGACAGCCCCTTCTCCAAGGCTGACTCAGCTGTTACACCACGGAGTATTTAATTTTCCAATGCAGTACCCACATGTGAACATTGAATTCTAGACCAATGTGGCAGCTACCTGGCAACCAGTTGTTTAGTTGGGACTCCATCACCCCAGCAATCTAGTCTTGCTGGAAGAGACTCTTCCTCTGATTTGCTCTTTCCAACACCCTCACTTATACCAGCACCATCACACATAGGCCTAATGGTCACCTTTCTTACTGTTGCAGTATCAGATATGACACTGCTTCTGAACAAGGATTCACTTGATCACATTATTGATATCACTCCAGCAGGAGAAATAAGGCAATGACCAGGATCCTATGGAATTCACAAGCAAATCAGCTTTTCCTTGGCATGTCATGACTTTTGTCTTCTTGGGAGCACTTCCAGCGCCACCTGTGGAACTTCATATGGGTCCCATGATGTTATTCAGGTGTGCAGTATTGTACCAGACATGACATAAAATACACAAGAAACTTGAAAGATCAATTTTTCCTGAGATGCACAATTTCTTGGAGAAATGAACTGTTCACACAGAGAGGATGAGCATCACAGGGCATTTTAAGTGGATACTCACAACACTTGGGCTCACCACCATAGCAACAGGAGGTGGCTTTGAAATTAGTGCAGTGGTACAGTGTCTATGCAGTTATGATTAAATAGTGCACATTTATGGTTGTGAGGCCTCCCCAGTCACGTGGAACTGTGAGTCCATTAGACCGCAAAGAGATACCATCACACGCTAATTAGAATGGTGATCATTAAAAAGTCAGGAAACAAGAGATGCTGGAGAGGATTCGGAGAAATAGGAACGCTTTTACACTGTTGGTTGGAGTGTAAATTAGTTCAACCATTGTGGAAGAAAGTGTGACGATTCCTCAAGGATCTAGAACCAAAAATACCATTTGACCCAGCAATTGCATTACTGGGTATATACCCAAAGGATTATAAATCATATACTATAAAGACACATGCACAAGTATGTTTATTGCAGCACTATTCACAATAGCAAATACATGGAACCAACCCAAATGCCCATCAATGATAGACTGGATAAAGAAAATGTGGCACATATACACCATGGAATACTATGCAGCCACAAAAAAGGATGAGTTCATGTCCTTTGCAGGGACATGGATGAAGCTGGAAACCATCATTCTCAGCAAACTAACACAAGAACAGACAACCAAACACTGCATGTTCTCACTCATAAGTGGGAGTCGAACAATGAGAACACATGGACCCAGGGAGGGAAACATCACATACTGGGGCCTGTAGGGGGATGGAGAGCTAGGGGAGGGATAGCATTAGGAGAAATACCTAATGTAGATGACAGGTTGATGGATGCAGCAAACCACCATGGCACATATGTACCTATGTAACAAACCTGCAGGTTCTGCACATGTACCCCAGAACTTCAAGAAAAATAATAAAAATTACCCAGTCTCAGGTATGTCTTCATTAGCAGCATGAGAGTGGAGTAATACAACTATTGATTAAAATACTTGTGAATTGTCTTTACATTGTTTATCCACTTCCTTTTAATTCTCTATTATTAAAGATATCTGAGGTTTCATTCTATAAACTTGCAGTGCCCTTCTTAGCCCAGGACCAAACCCACACAGCCCCAGGATAAGATGAGCCTCCTCCCAAGGAAAAGTCCTGAGGGCTGTTTCTCACACTACAAGGCACAGGCTGCTGGGGAGAGGAGGCACCACATTGTGGGGGATCGTCAGCCATTCCTTCTTACCCAGAAACAAAAATCGGCTTCAGTGAGTCCAGGAGTCAGGAGGGCTCAGACATACTCCCAATGATCACAAAGACAGAGGCAAAAAGATCAGGTTTTAGTCCCTAAACATGGCTCCCTGCTCCTTGAGGGAGAGGGGTCTCAACAAGTGCTACCCCAAAGCCCCTAAGGAAATCTCGCCTGTATCCACTTGGATTCAGGAGGCGCTCACATCATGGCCCAGCTGTGACACCTTTATGGCCATAGTGCTTCCCCTGCTAAGACTCCTCAGAGGAGCCTCCAGAGAGGTCCCAGCAGGGTGAGGCTCTTGGTGGGGCAGCCACCGTCTGGGTTGCAATCCCCACTCTGCGTGACCCATGGAAGCCCACCTGCCTCTCCCAGGAAAGTGTAGGGATTTCTTGGGACGTGCCACTACCCCGTCAGTCGCTGAGGCCCCAGGTGCCTGTTTGCTCCACCTGTCTCAAAGGGGCCTGTAGACCTGTGATTGGATGCATTTGCTAAGTCAGGAGATGAACGTCAAGCTGCCCAGCGGGCAAAATGCAAGTTGCCCTTGCTGAGTCCCCTCTAACACCCGGAGGCAGTAAGGCGGGGGCCTCCACCAGGCTGCACAGGAGCAGGAGCCCTCGGTGGGCCCCGCCAGACGCCCCTCTCTGTCTCTGCCTGGGACAGCCGCTGAAATCCTCATCCCCTAGGTCATTGGGTGGCTCATCTTAGAGCCTCATCTGCATCCCAGCTAGGGGATGAGGCGCATCTTGGCTGAATGCTCCAGTCCTGTGTTACTCCATATGCAGCCTCCCCATACTTCAAGACTTCAAATCATCCTTTATTTTGTCATGATTTCGCAGGTCAGGGATCAGGAGGACAGGCGCAGAGGGTGCGTCTCTGACCCAAGCGCCAACCACAGGGTGCCTCAGCCTCCATGTCTTGCCCTGTCTCCATAGCCCCCAAGCTCCACAAGATGTGGGCTCTTCCCAGCCAGGAAGTCTCCAGCTTCCAAGGGGCTAGAAGCCCGAAGCAGTTCAGTTTATGTCTATCAACAAAAAGAGCTGAACTCTGTAAAACACCTGAAGGGGGCCGAGCCAGATGGCTCACACCTGTAATCCCAGCACTTTGGGAGGCCGAAGTGGTCAGGAGATCGAGACCATCCTAGTCAACATGGTGAAACCCCATCTCTACTACAGATACAAAAAATTAGCCAGGCGTGGTGGCACACGCGCATAATCCCAGCTACTCGGGAGATTAAGGCAGGAGAATTGCTTGAACCTGGGAGGCAGTGGTTGCAGTGAGCCAAGCTCACGCCATTGCACTCCAGCCTGAGTGACAGGGCGAGACTCAATCTCAAAAAAAAAAAAAAAAAAAAAAAAAAAAAAAAAAAAAAACAGAAGAAAAAACTGAAGGGATTTATTCTAAGCCAAATAGGAGTGATAAATGGGCCCGTAATGCAGCCCCAGGAGATCCTGAGAGTGTGTGCCCAAGGTGGTTGGGCACAGCCTAGTTTTATACACTTTAAGGAGACATGAGACATCAATCAAATACATGTGGGATGGACATTGGTTTGGTCCAGAAAGGCGGGACAACTGGAAGTGGGGAGGGGACTTCTAGGTTATAGGTAGATTTAAATTTTTTCTGATTGGCAATTGGTTGAAGGAGTTAAGTTATTATCTAAAGACCTGGCATCAATAGAAAGGAGTGTCTGGGTTATAACAAGGAGTTTTGGAGACCAAAGTTTTCTCATGCAGTTGAAGCCACCATGCAGCAGGTTTCAGAGGGAAGAGACTGTAAGTGTTTCTCAGTAAACTGAAAGAGCCTGTTGTGTCAGTAATTCTGAAAGGGGGGAGGGGATAGCAAGGCATGTCCAGCCCCCATCCCACATCATGGTCTGAACCAGTACTTCAGGCTAGCCCTTCCAATGCCTTTGCTAAGGGAAGGAGTTCATTCAGATAGGAGGGCAGGGGGCGGGGTTAGAATTTTATTTTTGGTTGACCTGTCCACACCAGGAACAGAGTGACTTTCCACCACATCCTGATGCTCCATGCAGTCAGATTCCAGCATGCAGAGCCTCCACCATGGCAGGGTGGCAAGTACACAGAAGATCATAGGCGAGGCAACGGCTCTGTAGTTAGCTTTGGAAAAACCACCTGCCACATTAGGCTTCACTGCCATTTGTTTTCCACCTCTGTGGATGCTGGGCTGGGAAAGGGCCTGGTGAGAGGAGTTGACTCCCTCGGCCCAGTTTCCACACTGTCCCCTCTCTCTGCCACACCTGCCCGGGGCAACGCCCACCTGGCCCTCCTCTGCTTCTTCTCCATATCCACATATCACTTCCCCGCCAAAAAGTAGCAACAAGGAAGACAGAACCACATCATATTCACGGCATTCCACTTAGCGGATCATAGAGGCTCCCTGATGAAAACACAACAGTCAGGATCGATATTCGTGTCATCCCTTAGTCTGCACGAGTGCTGAAGCCATGAGGAGCCGCCGCCATGAAACCCTCCGAGCCACAGCAACGATCTCACACCTATGAAACAAGCTCTGGCTAATGCACCCTAACAGGTCCTGGGAGTCAGAGGCCTGCAGTGGGAAATGCAGGCAGACAGCTACTTACTTAGCCAGCCGTCGGACACAGGGTGACCGAGAAAACTGGTGTCATACGGAATCCGAACAAACAGTCTCCAGGGGTTTATCCACGCCTTGAAATGCTGAAGGGAGGCTGCCAGGGCCAAAGATCCAGGAGAAACAAATTAGGTGGAAACCCACAGCCCCATTTGCCCCCTCACCTCCATTGCCAGCAGCTGAAGGTAAACCAAGACCTCGGGCTGAGCCTTCGCCCTCCACGGGCCACGCCAAATTAGACACTCATTCTCTAGCAACTCACACATCTGTGCACAGAGCAGTAAGCCCCTAGGTGGGAAATTCCTCCTCCAGGCATTGCAGTGCTGCAGAAGCCATAAGGCACGTAAACTGAACAGCACTAGTGCCTGAAAGGAAGGCAGCGCTGGCTGTGATCACTCACCAGAGCCTGGGCCCTTAGGGCTGTCAAGAACCGAGAAGTCTGTTCCGTGTGTACAAAGCAGGCAGGGTGCAATCCTGACAGAGCCCAAGAGGGGTGCAGAAATTGGTAACCAAGTCGAGAGGGGACAGACAGACCGACAGACAAAACTCAGTATGAGCATTTTTGCAGCCCAACACCAATTTCATGCATTTATGTGTTGTAGTTTATCTCTGATCTTTTTGAACTGAAAATATTTTTAAACAAATTATTGTTTTAACATTTAGAAAAGCGTTTGCAGGCTAGGCACAGTGGTTTGTTCTGATAATCCCAGCATATTACATGGCTGAGGCAGGAGGATCATTTGAAGCTAGGAGTTCAAGATCAGCCTGGGCAACATGGCAAGACCCCACGTCTACAAAAAATGTTTTAAATAGCCGGGCATGGTGGCTATCATGGGTGCGACTGGCTGGGGCCAGCATCACAGTTGGTAGATTTTACCAAGACAGTTGTAGGTTAAAAAAAAAGGCTGATTTATTAGGTGAGGTAAAAAGATACATTGCAAGGGTGCAATGGACAGCACAGCAGAGAAAGGGCTGTGTGCAAAGAGGCAGGGGCTGGAGGGGGCTGTGTGCAGAATGAGGCTGTGCTGCTGGCACTACATACAGAGCAAGGTATTTGGGAACAGGATGTTGTGCTAGTGGGTTGTCTGTGATTATTGGTCTCTCAGAACAATGGCTTTTCCCACCCGGGGTCCCTTCCTCGTTGGTGTTTACTTATTAGGACTCCACAGGGGTCCATGCCTGCTCTCAGCTACTCAAGAGGCTGAAGTGGGAGGATCAATTGAGTCCAAGGGGGTCAAGGCTGCAGTGAGCCAGGATGGCACCACTGCACTCCAGCCTGGCTAAGAGTGAGAGAGCCCATCTCTAAAACCAAAAATAAAAACCTTACCCTCTCAGTAGCGACCACATTCAGACCATGGCTTTGGTTGGATTGTAGGCTCCTTAACTCGATAGGAAAGAAAGATTCAGAAAACAGAACAGGGCTGAAAAAAGAATCTGGGAAATCAAGAAAGAACTCCAGGGCTGCCCTCGGTGCTGAAGGAGGGGAGAAAACAAATGTCCTCTAGCCTGGTCAGTGTCAGCAGGCTTGTCCCCTAAGATTAGGGGTCATCAGGGGTCCTCTGGGGAAGGAGCAGAGCTCACTAGGTCAGGACCAGGTCTCTTGGAGCCTGTCTCAGGGTGTAAAGGAAAGAGCTTCCAGCCATTATGGGTGACGACCTTACCACCACATGCTGAGCCCAGTGTGAATGCCTGTAGGGAGTTGAATAGGGTCCCCCAAATTTCACATCTACCTAGAAACTCAGGATGTAACTGTGAGAGATGGGAAAGTTCTTCTTCAAAGTTTATATCTTAGACTACATTATAAGGAGTTACAATCTCTTGCTGTATGGCCATTATGTGATATTAGCATAAACATATATCCATGTGTGTATGTATATATATATATATATTCTCTAAATCAGCTACGTCTTAAATCAGCTACCTTGACTCACTCCGGCATGTCTGAACAGGACTGGGCAAGCTCCAAACCCTGGTGCGTGCCATTCCTTATTTGGAAACCCTCCTGACCTTCTCCTGACCAGCTTCCTCTTTTTCTTTGTCTTCTTCCTCATCTTCTTTCCCTTTATCTATTCAGCAAATTTCCAAGTTTTTAGCCAATCGGGCCAAGCATAGAATGTGAGATCCCGTTCCAGCCAATGGAAACTGGACATAGCAGTAAGGTGATTGCGTCAGGTTAGGAAAGCTATAAATGTCCCTGTCTCCTTTGTTCAGGTGTGCTGTCGTGGCAAGACTGCCGGCAAGTTGCACCCTGCCTGCAGGAAGTAAACTAGCCTTGCTGAGTGATCCATTGTCTTGGTGTGGATTTTTCCCAACATTATAAACCTGTCTCCAATGGACTTTATTTAAAAATAGGGTCTTTGCAAATGTAATTAGTTAAGGGTTGAGACAAGATCATAGAGACAGCCCTAAATCCAATGGCTGGTGTTGAGGACTAAACTCTGACTTTTATCTTGCCCAAATTCCTATCTAACGGGTCTGGGGAGTCATGCTCTGCAAATCACAAACCTCATCAGATGGATTTTATTTAACCCTATATACTGTGACTTACTTTCCAACCTGACTCAGGCATAACATTATGAGACAAGGAAGAAAAGCAAAATATTTTACCCCAAAACATTTTCCTTTGCCAAATTTTGAAATGGCCCTGCAGAGCTGTTCTTTGTGAGGGAAAATTTGCATCTGTAAAGAATCTCTATTCACATAGCTAGATCCTTTTCTTCCAGACCCTCTCAATCCTAAAGAGATTCACTAAGATCTGAACAGGAAACATTTATCATCTATTGTCTCTAAGGGCAGCCACTATAAGACTTCAAAAGAACTTTGGACTCCAATCTTTTATCTTAAGCTGAACATTCCCTTTCTATCAATCACAGTTCTTTAGACAAACACAACCAATTGTCAACCAGAAAATGTTTAAATTCACCTATAGCCTGGAAGCTCCCTCACTTTGAGTTCATGTTCTGCCTTTCTAGACCAAACCAATGTATTTCTTAAATGGGTTTGATTGACATCATGCCCCTCTAAAATGTATACAACCAAGCTGTGCCCCGACCACCCTGGGCACATGCTCTCAGGACCTCCTGAGGGATGTCACTCATATTTGGCTCAGAATAAATCTCTTCAAATATTTTACAGAGTTTGACTCTTTTCACTGACTGTGTCCTTATAAGAAGAGAAGACACAGGGAGAGACAGGGGAGGTCATGTGAAGACGGACACAGAGGCTAGAGTGATGTGGCCACAAGCTGGGGAACCCTGGAGCCACCAGAAGCTGGCAGAGGTCAGGGACAGACTCTTCCCGCTGACAACTTGACTTTGGACTGCTGTCCTCCAGAACCATGAGATCATAACATTCTGTTGTTCTGAGTCTGTAATAAGTCATTACAGCAGCCCAGGGAACCCAATACAAAGCCCTAGGCCCAAAGCATCAGATCAGGAAAGGGAAATCGAGAAACAAAGCCACAGGCTCTAAGGAAGGCAGTGGAGATGGGGTCGGCCGCATGGTAGAGCCCTGAGCCTGCGATGCTTTCCTGGATCTCAGAGACTCGCGGCTGTAACTCTCCGACCTGAACAGGAGCAATCCCATCTGCGTCCAGGCCACCCACAAAGGCAGCTCTGCCTGCTGGCGGCACAGTCACAGTTCACATTTGTAGTTTTCTTTTTCTCACCTTGGGGCCAACACCCACCCTGACTATGCCCCTGATCAGCAGGAAGAAGTTACAGCCGTCTTCACATTTTTTCCATCTTCATTAGCCAACCCCTTAAGATTAAGGTGTTATAAAACCCAAAGAGAAGGATTGAAACTGCCATTGCAAAATTATAACTGAGACAGTGAAAGGGACCTGACCTAACCGACTCCATCCTGCTTCTAACCTTCAAGCTGTCCTTGTTCATTCCTGGGCATAGGCTGAACTCACTTTGGGAGGAACTTAGTTTATAGTTTAAAACAAAGATGATAACAGCCCTTTCCCCGAACGAACCCCCTTCTTGCCTGGGGACTAGACTGCCTTTGTAGGACTAACAAATCAGCCCCAAGATTAGAAATTATGGTTTAGGAGTCACGCAGCTGGAGGCTATAAGATTCCGGCCCACCCCAAACTGCTCCTGGGGATAAATCACTATTGTAAAATCTAAGACCAGTGCTTGAGGTATTCTGCAGACCCTGCACTTGATGGGTCAGCTGTCACCATCTAGATCAATAAACTGATTCATATGTTCTTCTGGCCCCTTACCTAGGAAGTGACTCAGTGTGAAAAGACAGCTTTGACTCCCTATGATTTCAATTCTGACCTTACCAATCAGCACTCCCAGCTCACTGGCTTCCCTTCATCCACCACATTGTCCTTAAAAATTCTGACCCCTGAATGCTAGGGGAGACTGATTTGAATATGTAACTCCTGTCTATTATATTTGAGTAATATAACTCCTATCTCCCACAAAAATATATATTTTTTAATTATATATACATATATATATATATATATACACACACACACATATATATATATATACATATATATAATGTTTTCTTTTTTAAATAGAGATGGGGTCTTGCTATGTTTCCCAGGCTGGTCTTGAACTCCTGGGCTCAAATAATCCTCCCACCTCAGCCTCCCAAAGTGCTGGGATTACAGGCATGAGCCACTATACCTGCCCACATTTGTAGTCTCTGATGCGACAGGCACTGTCCTTCGTGTCTCACAGTGAATAAATGAATTAATGAATTAATGGACATGCACTATTTCTTTTCAGTCTCATCAGAATCACAGGAGGTAGGAGCTATCATGACCTCATTGTATGGCCAGGAAAGGAAAGCTGGCACCATCTTTGGACTTCTGTCCTCCAGAACCATGAGATCATAACATTCTGTTGACACAGTGACTTGCTCAATGTCACAGGTTGGTTAGAGGCCATGCTAGGGCCAGCCCTAGGTTGTTGGGCTCCCAGGCAGGGAGTCTCCCACCACACTATCCAGGCTACTGTCGGCAAATCAGAAGGAGTCAGTGACGGAAGAGGGGACTAGAACCCACAGACACATTCGGAATGGCCACCAAGAGACAAGCACATCCCAGGTCCAGTCTCCTCCATGAATCCAGGAGAGCAGGGAGGGAAGGGATGAGGGATGGGGAGGGAATAAGAAATTCAGGAATTTGGCAGCATCCACCAAAAAGGATGTCGTGCATAACTTGGGACATAGCCCAAATGTAAAGCACTTCTAGAGCACTGGGCAGTCTTCACCATTAGGCAAATAAGAGACACTAAGCTTTGCATCCTTCCGAGGGAGGTGATGAGTGCCTAGAAGGGCCGGCCGTACTCAGCCTCTGTGGAAACAAGCCCGGAGCCCCGGAGTGGTACTGGTTCCTCCTGCATGCCTTTGTGTTTAGTTACACTTTTCCCTGCACGTTTTAGAAAAAGAAATAATGCACAGCACTGAGACTTTGCCCTCCCTTCTGGCTGCAACTCTGGAGGCCCGTCAGCCGGCATGAAGCCAGACCACAGGCTTAGGAGGGGCTCTCTGTGGGAGGCAACCGCCCTCCTCAGCCACAGATTTTATGAGATCCCTGGAAGGAGAAGGTGAGATATGGGTCCTTCTGGAGTTGTTCACTCCTGGGGAGGAAGGAGGGTAGCAGACGGGCTCCATGGAGAGGGAGAATAAAAGAGCCCAGACCTTGTGACCTCAGGCTCATAGCCAAGGCAGGATCCCAGGATGGCTGGGCTGGCTCTCCCTGCTTAGGAGGCCCTGGGCAACAGAGGCTTCTAGATGTTCCCTGGGGGCAGTCAAGGAGCAGTGCTAAGATTCACCTGGGGCAGGATCACAAACACCCAGGGCGAACCAGGCTGGACCTTGGCAGGACCAGGGCTCACCAAGAGTAGGAGCAGGAATCACCCAGGAACCGCACCAGGACTTATAAGGGCAGAACCAGAGCTCACCAGAGTCAGGAGCAGGACTCACCAGGGGGAAGAGCAGGGCTC